CTGTGGAGCAGTTTGGGATAATGGACATGTCTGGCAGATAGGGACTGTGGTGATAATGTAAATCAGAGGAAAAACCCCAAAGGCGGCTGTTTAGGGCACGGTGATGACACGAGCAGTGTGGGATGATGGATTGGTTCCCTCCAGCCCCTGCTCAAGGAGTTCAGCACGAGCCAAACTCCCTCCCCTGAGCCCAGAGAGGAACCTGCAGCACCTTCCCTTCCTCCGTCTGCCTCACTCACCCCGCAGATGGAGGGTGGGAGCTCCAGATGTGTTCAGCACATCTTTAATTTCCTCTCGCTCCATTTCTGCCTGAGCTTTGCTTTGGGGCTGGGCGTTCAGGTGGAGGGATTTTTGCTGGCATCTCGAGAAGCTTGGGATAAGTTTAAAAAAAAAACAGGAGAGAAGCCTTTAGGAGCTGCTCTGGCTGGGGCTGTGGGGTGGGGACACCCTCCTGTGTCCCCTCTGCACTGTCCTGGCCCAGCTCAGCTCCCCCACGCCTGGAAGAGGCTCTGGGGCTGCTGATTCATGGCAGAAAGCACTTGGAGAGGTGAAATTCCTCCCCTGCATGCTTCCCTCACCCCTGACCCCGCTCCACTGCCTCCTCCTGACCCCTGAATTTCAAACCCGACCTTTGGTAGCACAGGGAGMGAGGGGAGGCACAAGGGCAGGGAAAGGGCAGAATGAGTTTGGCTGTGTTTGGGGGGTGGAATCCCACAGAGGGGTGAGCAGGAGGGGCTGGAAAGGGTCAGGGATGGGCATATCCACACTGGGACGGTCCCAAATGCCCGTGGTTTGGGGCTGGGCACTCCCTGGCACGGCCAGCAGCCAGCACTTTGGCCACCCCACAGCAGCCCAGGGACCCCCAGGTTCTGTCCCAGCAGCGATGGCTCCCACAGGATTCCCTCTCCCACCCGATCCCGGTGTGGAGCATTTTCAGGAGTGGCAGTAAATGTTCCAAAACTGTGCAGTCACGGAGCCAGACAGCTCCAGCAAGAGCTGAGAAACTAAAATTAGCAGGAGTGCCCCAGGCAGAGGCCACCTGGGGCTTTGTTTCGTTTCGCTCTTAACTTTCATCTCTTTTATTTATAATTTGTGGCTGATTGATTTTATTTTTTTTTAAGCTTTTTTATTTTTTTTTCCTTTCCTTTGAAAACGAGGAGCTCTGCTGGCTCATGGTGTGTAATCCCTGTGTTCCCAAGGGTGGCATCGCCTCTTTTGCCCCAGTTCTGCCGGGTTCCTCCCCCTGAGCAGCAGCAGCAGCATCT